TATATATAATATAGATAATTTCTTCATTATCATATTCTCTAAGTTCTTAATTAATAATTCAATATTAAGTTCACTATTATCAGCAGATGTAGATCTGTCAACATATAAAGATTCTATATAAATAAAAACAAACATATCAGTATCTGTGTTTATATAAAATTATGTTAGAAAATATGATCAGAAGCTTACTAAGAAGAAAAACAGTTAAGAGTGTATAAGAAGATGAAGAAGATGTATCATTTATAATAATATATTCTGATAATTGTTAGAAGAAAACAAGTTCTAGTCATATTTCACAATGTGTTATACTTACTACTAATAAACTGCTCAGTATAGATACTATAATGATACTTATTATAAGAATAGAGAGTTATTATCAGAAACATATATAATATAATAAATGAATAAACAGAAGATATGAGATAGAAGAAGAAGTAGAAATCTTGAATAAGATAATAATATTCAATAATAATAATAATAAAGAAGATGATTGAAGAATAGAAAAAGTTAGTAAATAAGTAATATAATATAGTGAAAGTTTCTTTGTAAGAGTGTAAGAAGAATACTAGTCAGATCAGAAATAGACTTTATAATTATAAATACTAGCAGCATGCTAATCTGTATAAAGCTAGAGCTTATATCATGATTATATAAGTGTGACTGAATCTGATGAAGAAGAATGTAATTTGAAAGAATATATAGCTGTTGAATAATAACACAGCTGCTTCTGAACATACTTACAAATGTAAAGAGATCATAGAAGTCACTAATTAATTTAGTATAATATGTATAAAAAGTCAGTATATGTCTGTAATTGTACACTGACTTAAGCAACCTTTGAATCACAATCTTATTTAATGACATTCTTAATAATGAAATCAGAATAAAAATGTAACTAAGAATTTAAATATATTCTTTATTTAAGACTAGATTTTTATTTGAAAAGTGAATCTGAGATCTTTAATATTTAAAATAACATGATTTGAGATCAATGTGATAAATACAAACTATAATCAGAAGTAATACTTTCAGATAATATAATAACTGTAAAGTTTGATTCTGGTCTTAGACACGGTCACATAGTCAGTCTATCTAAGATAGATATAATAAAAATTATCTGTGAGTAATAACTATAAAAACAGAGAATAAATGTCAATCTTATCACAGCTGTGAATTCAGTTATTAGAATAGATAAGTTTCACAAATTCAAGAATAATTACAGTTATATTGAAATGAAAATTATTACAAAGCTCTCAGAGCTAAAAGACTATAATGTCTGATACTGTAAAATCAAATTAAAAGCAGTTTTAATTAACATATCTTACATTCTTGCAGATGAAGAGCTTTTCTCTGATCTCTAATTAACAGATAAAGATTTGAAGATCTAATACTATAAAGAAGATAAATTATAAGAGTGTATATAAAGCTCAATAAAAATAGAGCTATAAATACTTATTTAATTAAAACTGAATTAAGTTAATAATTATAATATTATTAAGATAAGATGCTCAGTCACACTATAATAAGTAGTTGAATTAAAATATTAAATACATTGAGCAGATCTTTAATTCAAATTATATAGTAAAGTTATCACTATAATAATCACTGATTATAACAATAATATTACACTATATACAAAGTACTGATAAGTTATTATTATTATTATCATTATTCTTTCATTATACTCATATACAAGCAGAGCTTATGATGAGTTCTTGTGTGATATTAAATACAGGTTAAGTGTTAATTATACAGAAGAAAATACAGATGTTGAGATTATGTCAAGATAATAAGAATATAGAAAAATACAAAGAAGTGATAATTAAATACATGCAATAATAACTTCTCAGCTCAGGAATATAGAGTGATTTATTGAAGTAATTTATACACCTCTGTATTTATTAGAAACCTAAGGTGCTTGAGTTCCGGATTTAATGTATTCTCTGCGGGGTTCAAACTCACTAGACTGACCGTGACACCGTGTAACCGTGTCTGAGACCAGGACCAGAATTTTTAATAGTTTTATTACTAATTTAACAGATCTCATTACACAGTTCTAATATTAGATAGTAGTTTTATACTGTCTCAGTGAAACTTACTGTCTACTCTTATTATATTTTTCAAATAAGAATTATAAGATTATGATTTTCACTTCTCAATTTAAATTATTTTTATTACTTTAAATGACTTTAAATCTTATTTAAGTATTATTAAAAAGTGTTACTTTTTAAAAAATTAAAAATAGTCTAAAAAAATCTTAAAATGTCTAAAAATAGTAACTTTATATCAAGAATGAGACTAAATGAGATTAAATAAGATCACTTTCTCATTTTTTTCAAGTCATGATTTCATTTTAAGATCTGATATATAGTCACTTTGCATATTTATTTAATAATTAGTCATAGCAGAATTCATATCAAGAAATGTATGAGATCAGATTAAATGAGACTAAACATGAAATTCATAGTCTCAGCAGCCAGTCTAAAACTCACATATCTTGATTTCTCATGCTAAGATGCTATTAGATAACTGTATTAATTATTTAGTTATCAGAGCTGAATACTACTAATATAACTGCAGACATTTTTACAAAGATATTAATCTTCAAGATTTATAAAAATACTTTAATTAATATGAAGATTTAAATGCTCATAGTCTGCAAAGCTCTACAAATATCTTAATATATATAAGATTTAATCAGGTTAATATCTCTATGCTAATTTTCTTTAATTCTTTAATTCTTATTAATCTTCTGTGAAATCTTTGATGAAAGACACTACTATTTTATATATAATATTTCTTCTTTAGTTATAGAATCACTCTGCTGAGTTGTAAATATCTACTTAGTAAAGTAGTAGTTAAGAGAGATATCAGATTCTCTCTCTACAGACTGACTACTTCTGTATAAGTAAGATATTCACTGATCACTCAGTAAATACTTATTATATATAAAAGACTTTATAATAGTTAAATCTTAATAATACAATTAACTACTCTACAATATCATCTTTATTATTAAAAGAATTATATATTATTTTTAAATATATTTTTTTCCTATTCTTTTTTATATATTTATTTAATATGGTTATTTTTAAGATTTTTTTTCTTTTCTTTTATCATATTATTTTCTAAATAATTTCAAAAGTATCAGAAGATGTTAAAAATACTGTAATTTGTAAAAGATTTTTGTATTCTCAGCTGGAATTTTCTGGTTTTTCATATCTGAAATTGACTAATAAAGATAGAGAATTCTTTCATTTTCTAAATATTCCGAGACTTATAAAGTATGTAGAGAAGAGACTTGAATAGTAAACAATTAAATTCACAATCAAAAAATGACTGTGTTTTATCATTTAAATATTTAATATATTGCGATCTGATAGACTGTTCAAACTCGATTGACCCGGTGTAACTCCATCAACAAGGTCTGAACAATATTAAGTAAAGGGAAAGTCAAGTTCCCTCCTCATGCACCGAGCTATGGCCTTATGAGAGATAAAAATCGAGCGGAAACTCAGCAAACCTCAATCTAGGAGATGGAAAGGTAAATGATCGCCCATATTGAGGCAGCGCACAGGTGCTTATTTTCAAGTCGCAATTCAAGTTCAAACATAGCGTAACTACCTACAGCTAGGTGGGAATCGGTGTAGTGGTGTAGCGAACTCCTTTGCAAAGCGTGGTTTACTTATTAAATGCGGCGTTATGTATATCTATGGTTTTTTCAGTTCCGACACTGGGATCCAGTAGAACCCCTTTTCCACGCTCTTCATCGTTGCTACTAGGGTCAATCTAGGCACACAAAGCACCAGCATTGCGTCATGTAGAAGAGGGAATTATGTCATGAGGTAAATAAGTGCTCTCGGTTGGTTAGCGGCGAACTATCATATGAAATGGTTCCTAGGTACGCTGTCCTATTTTTCGGTATCAGGACAGACAGGAAAAATTGCCGCATAGTGAGAGTGGGCAAGGCGGATATATTGTCGCAATCCTTTTCATCAGGCTAAGCAGGGCCGCAGAGTCACAGCCACATCTAGCACTCGTCATATTGCTTTATATTGGAGAGCAGCTTTCGGTTAAACTCACAAGTGAAAAAACAAGGAGAGGAGGGTTGGCGGGGTTGACATTTCATATTTTGTATGATACTATAACTGCGGCTTGGGGGATTGACTTCACTTGGCAAATTCAATAAACACTTGTCATAATTTGGGCACGGGAAATAAGTTATTACAATACAGTAGATGGTACAGAACCGCGCTGGAAAGCGGATAACGAGGTAGGTTAAGGCACGCAGATAAAGGTGAGAGTCCAGCTGCCCACATGGCTCTACGACATGTTTTCATTCTCGAAGACGATCAAGCAGAAAGGTTTTGAATAAAAAGTAAAGAGAGAGCCAATGATTGAAGAGGAAAGGAAAAAAAAAAAAAAAAAAAAAAAAAAAAATCTCAAAATATGGTCAAGGAAAAAGTGGCATGTTGCGCACCCGATGTCTATGTGGCCAACGAACACCGATAAACTCCGGTGAAAAGGTGACAAAAACCCTTTTTTCCCTCTAATGGTTCCTTTCTTGCCCCAATGCCATCCTGCGCCTGCTTGATCAACAGGTCGGAGAACCAATATATTCATCCAGGTTAGTTGGCATGAAGTGCAGTTGGGTAGGAAAAGAAATCAAAGAGCAATACAAAGGAGAAAACACAAAGGAAATGGAAGATTTGTCAAGGACAGTGGAGACAAAACGATGAGATTTGGAAATAAAAGCAATTGGAGATAGTGTGGTCTTAGCTGGATGTAAAAACCGTTCCTGGATGCACCTAATGACACAAGAGAAACTCCGTATGAAAGAGAGAAGAGACTAAATATGTAATGTGATATGCAAATACGGAGCCGAATCCGCGAAAAGATATAAATAGGAAATACTGAAATGTGGTGGGTAAATAAATGTCTTCGACAAATTTCGGATAACAGAGGGTATCTAGTGTGAGCTGAGATTCTTATGGCACTTTTTAGTCTTCCCCATTCATGTCTTCATCAAGATCAATCGCATCGGGATTTGCAGGAGAGACTTGTTGCTGTTGTGCCTGTTGTTTGTCACCATTAGCAGGCAATGGCATGTTTCCTCCTTCTGGGCCAGTGCTTGCGGGGACGAAACCCATAGGGGCTCGGGCTTGTCTTTCCAAAGCTGCCATCGCATCGGCACGGTCTTTTCCCTCCTCTTCCTCCTCAGCCCCGGCAGCTTCCTTGGAAAGCTGCTTGCTACGAGCAATGGCCTGTGACGCAATGAAGTTGACATCGGTACTGTAAGGTTTCATGTTAGTTTCACTGGTAGAACGGATATGGAACAATGTAAAAGTGCAACGGGGAAAAACATACTTGTACTGAGCCTGAACACTGCGTTTGATGCGCAGCATTTCCTTAAATGTATCTTCGTTGCCATGCTGAACTTCGAAAGCTTCCCATTTCTGCCAGAACCCGGCATTCGTACGTGGATCACAGAATTGTGACGCATGGCCGTAAATGGCGCGAGCTCTATCAATCTCACCCAGACGACGCTCCATTTCAGCGAATTTGAGACACATTTCTTTTGCCTCATTGTCTGGCAACGCTACAATGGCGCGTTCATAGATAGGGCGCGTTGATGTCAACCCGAAATTGGAGGCCGACTTCGTGATGTAGAAGTTGAACATTTCAAATCTGTCGGAGTCGGAGACTGCACGAGTTGCGCGTTCATATATTCTCATGGCGTGTCGAGCAAGCCCCCTTTCTTCTTCCAGATTGCCATACATCAAGTAGAGAGGCTTGGCGAACTGCGGTGGGCATCCATCCACAGCCTGTTCGAACAAGTCTCGTAATCGTTCGATTGAGATTTTGCGATCCACTGCCTTGGTCAAATATAGGTTCCACAATTCGAAAGCGACTGGGTAACTGAAGAGGTCAAGGCCCCTCTCATAAATCTTGAAAGATTCCTCGAAGTATTTATTTTCTTCCAAAAGGTTCGCATAATTAACGACCGTTTGCGGTGTTGCAATTCTCAGCTCGAAAATGCGTTCGTACACTTTCTTCGTTTCTTCGAGAGTCCCAACGCTTTCGACGAGGTCAACGTAGAAACTCCACAGCTTCCAGCTCTTGTGGATCCGCTGCTGAGGCGAAAGAGTTTCGTCGAAGTAGTCCACGGTGGATCGCTTAGGAGCCTGTGTGGCTTTTGCCATGATGTCAACTGCTCTATCGAAGTTTTCGCTGCGCAATTCCATCTCGGCCCACTCGCACCATGTTTCAGCCAGTTCGGCAACCGTCTTGAAAGGAACCTTGACAGCTTTGTCCATAATGACTCTAGCCGTATCCAAATCTCCGCCCTGTTCATAAAACTTGGCATAGTTAACCCAGAGCTCGTGGAACTTTCCATGGGCTTTCTTCGGATGGATAGTTGCAATGGCCTTGGTGTAGGTTTGAACAATTTCGGCTTTATTATCGCCCCACAGCGCAACACGTTTCCCCCACTCAATCACATTATTGGGGTTCTGTCTGAGAAGCACGTCGTTAACTAGGAAAGGCCGACGATCCATGAGTTGTTCAAATCTCAGCATTCGAAGGTCTAGATCGAAATCGGCGGCCTCATCAATTTTGCCCTTGTCGGATCGTAAAGCAGCCTCCTCCATCAGGTGTCCTATGATAGATTCTTCAAATTCCACGTAGGCATCGAATACCATGGTGAAATCTCGAACAGTCATGACAGTTGTAATTCCTTCCTCGAAAATATCTCTCGCGTTTTCGAAATTGCCCCGGGTAATCCAGTAGGTAGCTAAACCAGCCCACAGCTTGCCTCTCTGGTCAGCGAATCTATCAATTCCACTGCGAATGATCAAATCGACATCGATGCCAGTCTCAGGACCCGCTTCGATATCTTTAGCTTTGTTGACGAGTAATTCAACCATATCAGTCCACAGTTGAAATTGGCTTTTGCCGTTCTTTGACTGAAACCTAGGATTGTCCAGAATCTCCATATATTTCTTCACAGCCTCTGTGTATTTGCCCATCTCAACCAAAACATCGATATACTCTTCGGCGTTCTCGGGATGAACTTGCATGTACCTACGCCATATTTTTACGGCAGTGTCTCCGGACGCTGAGTATGCGAAGGCCTTGTAAAGTTTCCAGATCCGATTATGCTGAGTGACTGGTAGCGCGCGAAGAGCCCGATCAAAAGTACGGCGCGTCTGCGTTATTATTGGTTGCTGAAGTAGAAATGTGAGGAACATCTCCCAGATTCGAGGCATTTTGTTGAGCAGGATCACGGCGCGTTCGAATAGGCCATTGACTTTGAGATATTCTGCACGATGGATCGATGGGTTGCGGCCCCTGAGGTGCTTCACACGGAATTCGAGATACTAAAAGAAGAAAGTGAATCATCCAGTGAGCGGGATCGGATATAGTGGGGAGTGCATGTCAGGACTCACCATTTTCCACAACTTATATGACCTGGGTAGTTGTTTGCAGGCACGTTCCATAACCTTTGTCAACTTTATTAGCAGTCTGCGTTACCCCAAGGGGAGGTGGAGAAGTCATTCACTTACAAAGGCTTGTTCATAGGGATTGCCCTGCTGTTGCTTGAATTCAATGTAAGACAGCCATGGTTTGATACTGTGCGGGTCGCGCAGAATGTCTTGTTCATAGACAGTATCCTCATTTCCCTTCAAAGAAGTCAGCAAATGTCTTCAAAATTTAGGTCAATGGACCAAACAAAATATGATAGCTGCTTACAATCAAGTAGAAATCAGGCCGAGCAGGCGCGGCCTTGTCCATCTTTGGCTGGAGCCCTTCCTGGGGCCTTCTGTCTAAAAGCGTCCCGGGCATCTCACCACTCACAAGAGCGGGACCTTACGCAGGTCGCCACTGTGCCGGTATACGAAGAGATAGTCTGCGAGGGGCATGCAGAGTCATTGCCGCCGCGTGGGTTGAAGAGAGGAGGAGTCGTTCGCCGTCTTGATACTGCCGTCCGTCTTGGAGTCGCGTCGGGTCATCTGACTGCACTAGTCTACAAATGGCAATTATGGCTTGGCATTATATCAGCATCAGATGGTCCAAGCGTCCAGGGCGCTGGATATGACGAACTGCCTCAATTCGAAGCGCCGTCGACCAGCAAGTCGAAACAACTTAATGCGAGTTGTGCGGCCTCATTTGCAGGCCCCGTCCTATCAACTCTCTTCACGATGTCTGGAACAGGGGTATGTTTTGTCTCACGCCTTGCCGCCGTGTCTATGCTCGTCATTAATTACTTTTCCAATCGTTTCAGGACCGAGAAGCTGTGTTTCCAACCCGGCAGTCGCTGGGGATAATGAAGGGGAAGCTAAAGGGCGCGGAAACAGGCCACAGTCTTCTAAAGAGGAAAAGTGAGGCTTTGACAAAGTACGTTTATCAGCAAATAATATCTAATAAATATTGTGTTGTTTACTAATATTTATTCTCACTCCCAAATAGGCGGTTTCGAGGTATGAAGACTGTGGAAGAGCCCATGTACCCTAATATCTAGTCTAACGTCTTACCTTACTACTAGAAATCACTAAACGAATCGATGAGGCAAAACGGAAAATGGGTCGCGTTATGCAGATAGCGGCCTTTTCCCTCGCAGAAGTTACATATGCTGTTGGAGGAGATATCGGTTTCCAGATCCAAGAATCTGCGAAACAGGCACGGTTCCGCATACAGACAAAACAAGAGAATGTCTCGGGAGTGATGCTACCTCAATTCGAAAGCATAACGGCCGAGGGTAGTAATGATTTTGGCTTGACAGGCCTAGGAAAAGGAGGACAGCAAGTCCAGCGGTGCCGAGAGACATACTCAAGGGCCGTTGAAACACTCGTCGAGCTTGCTAGCTTACAGGTACAGCCTCGTGACCCCTCACCACCTAGTACGACCACATTCAACTACTGACAAATGTTATACTTTATTATTAGACGGCATTTGTAATATTAGATGAAGTCATCAAAGTGGTTAACAGACGCGGTATGTTGTCCTGTTTCCGCTATTGGACGGGCTAAGTTGCTAACACCTTGTCACCTTAGTCAATGCCATGTATGAAATACCTCCCCTTTCCCCTCTGGTCGACTGGCAATTAGGCGCCACCCTAAGTACTCCGTATTCTACGCCATATTCTTTTGGGGCACTCCTGATTTCCTTTTCGGGTATGGCTTATTTTGGTGTTGAACTAAGGATCTGATTCCATCGCATCCATCTAGTGAACATGTCATCATCCCCCGAACCGAAAATACTATTAAATGTAAGTGGTTCAAAATGAAAATTAAAAGCGATGTAAATGGCTTACATTGCGCCAGATATCAACTCAGAGCTAGACGAGCTCGATCGAGAAGAATTTTACCGGCTTAAAAAGGTAGCCAATGTTAACCCGAATCCGTTTCGTGACAGACTAGAGTGAGGCTAACCGGTAACCAACTTATTATTAGGTCTCCAACAAAAAACACCAAGTAACTGCAGCCGCCGATGCCGAAATGAAGGCCAAACGAGAAGCAGCGGAGAAGGATGAAATCGCAGAGTCAGAGTCAGCAGATACCCCGGCACCCGCCGATATTCTTGGAGAGCATGAGGATAAGGATATTATTTTTTAATTTCACCGCTCTTTTTGGGCCATTGTACAATTTCCATGCGCGTCATTCGTAGAACGATATATGCAGTAACGTTTTCCCCTTAATATCTCATACCGCTACCCATTGCCTATAATAATTGGATGAAGATTCAGGAGCACATTATCCCATTTATTCATAAAACCCAACGCCTAAAAACATATCACAGCGATGTCATAAAGCACATAGAAAATTCCCACCAAACAAAGAGTATAAGATGAACAAAGTAAAAAAAGAAAAGAAAAGAAAAAAGTCATCACTGCCTCTGGAACGTCACCCGAATGGGTTTCCCATTCTCCCCCAACGGCATGCCAGACGTAGCCTCCTTAGCACTGATAGCACCCGTTTCCGCCTCATATTCCACGAATGCAATTCCTTTCCGGCCCGGCACCATACGCACTTCCTTGAATCCCTCGAATCTACCAAATATCTCGGTAAGGCCGTCCTGGTCTAACGAATCAGGGATCTCCCGCAAGAACAGAATCTTATTGGGCGGTAGGTATTCATCTTGGATAACCGGAGCGGCGGTGGCAGTAGAGGGTTTCAAGCCAGCGCCTCTAGTAACCTTTGACGGGCGGGCTTCTGGGCCTCCTGGTGCAGCAACTCCACGCTTCAGCTTCTTCTGCGCCTCGAGCGCTTCCTGTGCTTGTTTCCTCTCTGTAGCGCCAAAAAAGTGAAAATCAGCCATCAGAGCTTTACTCACAACGAGACGGAACGAAAAGGAAAAAATGAACTGACCCTTCTCCGCTAACCTCTTCCGCTTGTGGGCCTCCAGCTCCGTCTCCCCATGTTCTTTTAGCACTATCGCATCGCTTCTCGTTCTGGCATAGTCCAACACCATAGGTTTCTCAAAAAGCTCAAACCCGTTGATCTCCTCAATTGCGCGCGTGGCAGAGTCTACATTATCAAAGACGATAAAGGCCTGGCCTTTTGCTTTTAGGTTTGTCTTCGCGACGATATCAATGATGTTGCCGTATTCGGAGAAGATTTCGGCCAGGGCTTCTTTGAGGGGCTCGACTTTGATTCTTTCTTCGAGATTGCGGACCTGCACATGAGAGACAAAAATTGCGATTTGTTTCGTTAGCCTTCCAATTATTCTTGTATTGCGACTGGGGAGTAGCTCGAACTGTTTCGTCTGACGTACATAGACACTAGAAGAATAGCAGCAAACAAGGTCAGTAAAATTGGAATTTTAGATCAGGAAAAAAGGGTTCGAGGAAACTCACGTTGAATTGGGGGCTATGCCAGACGCCGAAGCAGCTACGGCTGCCATGGTGAATGAATTAACGTGCCTCAAGTTATCGATTGGATTTCATCCGCGCTGGAAGAATCGAGAAATGCCCGCCCCAGCAATGCGAGAGCTTAGTAGTTGGGTTGGGTCTGCAGGCTGTCGGCGAAACTCTTAGTCCGGACTGAAGCAAGTGTTATCATATCAAGGGATGATATTATCTCCCTTCATCATAGAAAGAGCATCATTGGTCTAGTGGTAGAATCCATCGTTGCCATATCCCCTGATCAATGACATGATTGGTCATAATGTGACTCGATGGGGCCCGTGTTCGATTCACGGATGATGCATCTCCCCTTCTTTGAAGATGTTTTACCATTATTTTCTTTTTTATTCTATTATTATTATTATTAGATGTTGCTGGCTGTAGAGAGAACCCATGACATGTGAAATATTTTTGTTCTAGGTTTTCTACGTAGTTGATGCGGATGCACTCATTACATTTTTTGTGGTGCAAAACACTACTTTGAATTGTACAGTACAATAAGACTGGGTTGGGTTCAAAAATATATATCTGAGGTCCTCACAATCAAACTAGTTGCCAGTAAATTTCACATTTAATTGGTATAATATTATACATGTTGACATAACTTACCAGTCAAGGCTGGCGGTGATCAAGCGTTTTCGCCCTGGGGTCCTACAATACATACATATATATCTTCCCTGGCCGTCCTCGTGAACGCGGAAACATCGTAAAATAATCATTATATTTTTGTAATATCTATTTATACCCAGCTATATATATCCTAAGCTATCACCTAAGAAGTGAGAACCACACGTAAATTATCAACCTTCGCCTTCAATTGCTCTGGAGGGCTTGACCAGTCTTCACCCTTCATCTCCTCGACGTGGCTCTCCATATATAAACAGTCCGCGGCAATGGTGCGGATCTATATTTGGTTAGTGGGAGAAAAGTAGCGATCAGAAGAAAGAGGAAATAGAAATTAGCAGAGGAATTTTACCTTCGGATACGGATGCAGGAGCATTCCTGTCAGCTTCTTCATGGCATCTCCCTTGATAACACCCATCCTCCACAGGAGTGAGTATATCTTTATTGCAGCTTCAATCCGGGTCATATTGGCCGATTTAAAATGGAACTTTTGAACCAGAACAAAGAGTTTGTGATAGCTGTTGAGGTTGAAAAAACAAGAAAAAATTAGTCATACCACCGTTGCAACCTCGATATAAGGTGAAAATACTCACTTCATATTTGGATCCGGGGAATTATGTAAGAAGCAATTATCGAGCAAAAACGCAGTCATTTCCACAACAGGGATGGCGTAACGGTCGTCATCGTTATCGCTCTCCAGTATCGATAGCCAATCCTCTATAAGTTTAACGCATATAATGTTCCTCCGCTGCTCATCATGGTTGTTGATGTATTGCAAAAGTGCGACGCGGGCGGATCGAACTACTACCTCAGTGCCTGTAGTAGCGGAGGTTACCAGGCCTCTCGAAAGAGAATGACGCAGCCACTCAACTTGGAGTAGGCTGAAAAGCTGTAAAAAATAGTCTGCCGAGGAGACTTCGCTGAAATGTTCGTATTTTCTAGGACTTCGTTAGAGCCATTATATATAATTTTTTTTTTTTTTTTTTTTTTTTTTTTTTTTTTTTTTTCGAGACTCTTGGGATGACTTACTGTGCTAATGGAGGCAAGTCTGTGGATATCTCCCAGAAAGTCTGTAGGCAATTCCAAGCGTGAAAGCGAACTTTGTCAAGCTTTTCTGCTGCAAGGCGTACAACACAGCCCATCAAGTCCTTCAGGTACATGGGTGTTGGGCCAGGTGGCACCTTCGATTCAATAATGATATTGACAGCCTCTATTGCTTCAAGCCTAATGAACGAACCAACGTCCCCTCTTCTGTCCGTCGTATAATCGTTAAGAAAGTCCTTGAAGTGCCCAGAAATAGGTTCCACATCATCTGCCGTATCGCAACATGTTAGCCAAAAGCTAGCTTTTAACGTCAATGAAAAGAATATTATTATCATACCTATCTCCGGCAACACACCAGTAGCAAGACAGTTCACAGCTGACGACCGTTTAGCAATTTTCTCTTCTGCCCCAGTACAATCGATGAGCTTATCTATAATGAACTGCCTCCCCTCCCCAAATTTCGGCATTCGTTTGAAAACCGCACCTAACGCCGCAATTTGCCCACGCCCAGTTACCAACCGCCAGCTATCGTGGATATTACTGAACCACTTTTGCACAACTTCCGATTTCCTAGAGTTAGGAAGTAGCATGAACAAGTCTGATGCCGCTTGCGATGAAGCTTCAATCGGGATATCGTCTGGTCGACACATACATAGAAGCAAGATTTCAATGGCTCTATCGAGCAATCGAAAAGACGGATAAGAGAGCGTGGGGTGTACATTATTTTGTTGCTCCTCCGGGGCGCAGGAGCGAGAAAGAGAAGAGATAAGGCGCGCACAAGCCTCAGCAGTGAGGTCGGGTCGCATTGTAGGATCCGTCAGGACTTCGGGCGTGGGAGCTATAGCGGAATCGAAGACAACGCCCCAAAGGACTGTAATTTGATCCTTGAGCTTTTTGGTATACTCAGGTGCATATGTTGTGCCACTCCCATTTTTTCTATGAGTGATGAATGCATCAATAGTAGCAGCAATAGATAAAAATAGACCATGTCTTGCCTCAACAGCCTGTAATGGCGTCGTAGACAATTGTTCCACAAGCCGTTCAAGCACTACGCTTAAGCTTTTATACGATTCCTGAAGGCTTAAATCTCCGAGGGCGCGAGCGGCCACCCGTCGCGATTCAGCGTCAGGAGAGCCGATACCTCTCCATCGTAGAAGGCCATTCACGAGGGGGTTCCAGTAAACAATTCCTATATCTGAAGCACCCTTGGCAACCTCAATCATCGCCCTCGACCTGCGAGCAACGGAATGATAATCAACAGCCTGAACCAAGGGGATACCTTCAAAAATAGTATCGGGATGGCGACCAATAAGTTCCTGCAGTGCTGCAGAAGCACCTCGTCGAATATTCCCCGAAGGATCCAAACATGCGGCACAGACAAGCTCTATTGCAAGGGCCTGCAATGTGCTCCCGCCCTCCTGGTTTGTCGTTACTTTCAGCTCCTGGGAGTCTAGGTCTAGTAGTTCACTTGTCGTGTACTTTCGAGATAAGGCCCAAATTCCAAAGCACGAAGCGTCTCTAACACTAGTTCCGATAGAACTTCCCGTCGATGACCGTTGCTCAAAGTCTAGTCCAGACACGAGTGATTGAAGCACACTGGGAAGTAGAGAAGTTGGTGGCGAGCGGCGAAATAGTAAATGCGCAAGAGTGAGGATAAGACCCTGCCACCGTTGAGGGTCTACGGCACTTATGTTACGTTTCCTCAACTTGACGTCGACGTTCTGGGCTTCGAACGGTGTTATTAGTGTGCCATCCTGCTTCTCATAGAGAATATTCTCATCTAGAGAACCAAGGACTGCTTCTATGACATCAGACGTCATGCTCGGATCGAGTCTGACGGTTATCATGCTAAGTGCCTTGCTCGCTGCAAATCGTACCGGTGTGTCTTTATCAGCGAGAGAGACCAGGAAGTAATCGATTGCGTTCTCCAGAATCATCGACACCGTATCTTCCGGAATTTGGTGGAGTCCAGAGCTCTCGTCTAGAGATATCACTAGAGTCGTGATAGTCCGCAGAATTTTTATCATCGACTTCCTGGCAGATGCAGAGGACCTAATTGTCTCAGCAAGAGGCGACTCTCCCTCAGATATTTGCAGGATCCCATTAAATATCGGCACGATGAATGGCGCTAAATCCCCAACTTGCCCAGAAACCCCAAGCCTAGAGATAAACGAAAGCACTCCGATACAGGTATACACTGGCGGCGGCGCGGTACTTTCAGCCGTTGGGCGTAGAATATCCAGCGCCCACCGCATGAGAGAGCTCAAAAGTCCCAGTCGCTGCATATCTACCCGCAGAGCAAGCCTCGCCAACAATACGGTCGCCGCCTCCCGCTCCTTACCAGGAAGCACAACATACTTAAGACATATCGAAAGAATCGAAATAGACACGCGGGGAATATCGGGTGACAGATCAGGCACAACAGAAAGATTATCATATGGCACTGGTAAGGTCTTTGATGAAATCGACGCCAGATCGAACGGTGCAAGGAGCAGATGAGAGAGCCAAAGAAGCATTATATATCTCTCTTCCCAAATCAACGTCTTGGGCTGAGCTTTCGTACCCGCGGTTTCGGTGGGGGCTGCTTCTGCCGTGGTAGCACTGCTGTCCCACTCAATAAACGCACGCAACATGACTTCCAGGTACTTTGGTTCATTGTTCAGAAACCGGCTGATGACTTTGACGCCGCGAATTTTGCAGAGCGTATATAGGAGCATGCATATTGCTCTGGGTAGAGGGATGAGACCTCCACTTTCGGCACTTTTCTGCACCGAAGCTTTCGATGACGCAAGCACATATTGATCTCGGTGAACTGTCAGATATTCTAAGAATGCATCGACTAAATTTGAAAGTACTTCTTGCAGATAGGGATCTAGAAGTTGTGGCCACTCTTGAAATGGCTCCAACTAATATCTCGAACATGCGGAAAAGGCCACAAGCCCATGCAAGAAAAAGTTAGAACAGTTCATAGCTTATATATCCATATACATATATACACAATTAATTCGATAAGGGGAGTTGTAGACTTACGAGATCTATTAGTTTTAATGCCTTGCGAGTTTGCGCCAGACGGTGTACTTGACGGCTGCTGGCATTGTGATTGCCATGAGGCCGCGATTTCCAGAGGAGTGGGGAAAGTTTTGATCTAGTCTCTCGTATTAAATCACTAGAAGCACGTTGAAGTTTAATATCTCTGTCCTGAGGGGCGTCCATTCTTATTCTCAAGTCACTCTGTCCTCCTCTTCTACTTCATTCTAAGAGTAACTCCGTAGGGGTTCCCAGTAGCCTACAGAGGTTGCTGGTGTTGACATTGACTGCACGTGATCAACATCACCAGGTTGCGATGATTTTCTAAATAACTCACCGTCATCAAATGTGTTCAAAATGGATCCTATGCTTGAGAAGAATACTGCGAAAAGAGAAGTAAATTCAAGGGAATAAATTCAGCAATCGGATAATCTACAGAGCAAAGGACGCCAGAAAGAACTAAGGGGTATAAACAAAAAGGGTATCTCCCAGTTCCATGCCAGCGTGAGTATTGGTTTCAATATCTTCCATCATAAGCACGTACAATTCGTAAAACATATATTGCATAAAAACAAACAAAAGGGGAAAAAAAAAAGAGAAGAAAAGTAACAGCTCAAGCAGATGGAAAATTGGGCCCGATTATTTAGTACGCAGCAGCAGTACCACAACCGCCATCAGTGGTCCATCAATGGCACAACCACCCATCTGAATGACACCAATTAACCATCCCGGGAAAACTATACTCATAGCCTTCGACATCAAGTTGACGAGATGCCTAGAGATCCGGGTCCCCCGAACGGGCCTCGTCGCCAGTCATCCACATAACATCCCCTTTTCCTTCCGCTTCCAACTGAGCCATCGTCTTTCGCATCCGAACAACAGCAATGGCAACAGCGAACGAATTCCACACATCTTGCGCAATCTCGCTAAAATCAAACTGCGAGATGAATTTGGCGGAAAACATTGAGTCCAAGACGGGATGCACCTGCGGGTCCGAGTTCAGGGTGAGAAGTGCAACGATGGGCCCGCAGATCAGGAATCCGGTTATAACTGGGAATGGGCGAGTCGCATATTGGTTGATGCTGTCGCATTGACCACTTTCGTTATTCTCGGCGTCGTTGGTTTTTCCATTGAAGCTGGTCTCGATACTAGGCGTTAATCGCCAGGCTTCGCGGTAACGGTTCGCCAACATGACTAACCGTTGGTTTAGGATTTGAAGGGCATCGCGAGTGGACTCGGATGGTTTAAGAGAATATATTGCGTATATGGGGATTGCATTTGGACGATTGAGGAGGTTAGAATCGTACAAGGCCCATTTGATATAACCCGTGATGGCGCGACGGATAACTGGCTCGGGCCGAAGGTAGACCGATTGGCGGTCCCTGACTTGACTTCCAAGTTCAAAGAGATCGCTAAGGGCGTTGATAGCTGACATACTGTTAGTTTGAGTCGTTGGTGACAAAACGGCTGTATGCCATAAAGTTTCTCTTACGAATACACTTACCACGAAACTCCGATGCACCAATCGCATCGATATAAGGAGGGGTGATATCCTCTGGGTGACCAAGCAGCGATTCGGGAAGGGTGCTGAAATCCAATTGCCAATTGCTAGGCACGAGAGGTTCGAATCCTCGCATTGCAAGGCGATAGAAGAGGTCCTTCTCCGCTTCCGCCCAGTGCCCCTTCGGCAACTTGATAGCAGCAACCCAGCGTTCTGCTCTCTCCACAGAGAAATCAAATGCCACTTCCTTCCTCTCATTTTTGCTCACAACGTGCGACTTCCCGACAACTTCATCTTCACTTAGGTCGTTTTCCATGCTCGGGTCCCGATTCAGGTTCTTGTCCACAGCCGTTGACGAAGGGCGGTAAACATCGTCTATGTCACGCGAGATTTTCGAGCCACGGTTCGCCTTACGTGGATGCGGAGGGACTAGCAGTACCTCATCACCATCAGTTCCAAAATCATCCGAGGCAACCAGGGACGCCGCGTCTTCATTATCGCTCAATGTAGACTCTTCATTGACTATATCTGAATCTTCAGCTTCGCTTTCAGCTCCTGAGCCCGTCATTGCCTCAGTATCTTCCACACCAAGAGTATCACCCTCAAACAGCTGTACTTCCATAGTCTCTCGTTCGCCCATATATATCATGCCCTCACGAACCCGTCGTCGTTTAGCTGGAGTAGCTTCACCCACCACAAGCGTATCTCCCTCCAGATCATCCTCATGGGCACTGATTTGATTCTCCGCTTGAGCGTAACTACGATCAAACGTCAATTTCCTCTTCGACCCGGACTCAGCCGGAGTGGGAAGTTGCATAAAGTTCCTGTACGCGTCCCGGGGTGTCTCCACGATTCCTCTCATCATGGAAGGATGGAATGCCATTTTCCCTCGTCGATTTACAGACTCGCTTCCCTCTCCACTTCTTCCATCGAATTGGCTGGACGCGGTGCATGAAAGCCAATCCTGCATTTTGGACGTAGGGCTCATTGAACGGTGTTGTAAGACTTCTGAAAATGATTGCGCACGCGGCTCGACTGCGCTAGGCGTGGGCAGACCAGTTTGTGATGGCGGTCGTTCGAGAGGGGATTTCTGAGGGGCCAGGAAGGACGAGAAGGATTGGCGGAAACTTGAGAAGTAGCCCATCTTTATGGCAGGTTCAATCCCAAGGTCCTTAAAGAGTCGAGTTTTTTTGAAAGAAAGGTAAGATATGAAAGAAGATAAACAATGGAGAAACGCTCCCTTGGAGATTTCTGTCGAAGAAAGCGAGGGGCAGAGCTAGATTGAACTAGCAGGTTGCAATCGAGGGTTGCTGTTTTTGGTTGGCTTTGTCCGAAAGTGTGCATCGGACATGGGCTGCAGGTAGGTGGGAGGAGTTCATTATGAGAGGAGAATACCACGTGCTGTTGGTGTTGTCCACGAAGAGTGATGAGAAGGGGATTGCAAGGGCTCAAGTGAAGAAATTGACGCTGCTGATGTGTTGTAGAGTTGAGAGTTCTGAGGGTGGGATATATATTGCAATGACGCGGTTTTCCCTTTTCTGGAACGACGCGAGAGGCGGCTCATCAGGCAACCACCCATTTAACTTAACCTACTATGGTTTAGGGCCACATTTGCTGAATTAACTCAAGGTCACATGATGTAACCCCTGGTTCCTTGAAGCATCCTTATCTCAGCAGGCTCAGCCGCTGCACAGCCCATTGCTGTTTTAACAGTTGAATTGATGATTAGTCACTCTTTGAAGCTAAACCAAAATAGACAATAAGCTAAATCTCTCTATATCTCTCTGTTGGGGGTCCCGGGGGTTGATCGGCCCTTCTACCAGCAGTGCGCTGGTGGTGACTGAGCTCTTTTGCCCCAGTAGCCTACAAAAAATCCATGGATATGTAGTGACGCCTGCTCAGTGGCATTGTCCTAGCAATTGCTCCTATCACCTCTACCCCCTCTACCACCACTACTGCCTCTACCGCCCCGCAGCCTCTCCTCTATCACTTCCACTTCATACCTCTACTCCCATCTTACCACTCACTCTCTTACCACCCCTATCACCTCTACCACCCCTACCCTCTCTACCACCATCACTGCCTCTACCGCCTCACAGCACTCTCTATCACTTCCACTCTCTATCTCTACTCTCATCTTACCAACCCCTCTCTTACCATTTCTATCACCATCACTGTCTCTATCACCTCTCTCTATCACCTCTCTCTATCACCTTTTCCACCCTCTAGCCTCTCTATCACCACCACTATCTCTACTGCTCTGCAGTCTCTTCTATCACTTTCACTATCTCTACTCCTCTCTTACTATCTCTACCACATTTTGATCTCTGTGTTTATAGTATATAGTTACTGCTAAGTACTCTGTAATAAAGTCTCATGTGATGTCATGTGCATCTCTTTGAATTCATGAATGAGATTGAATAGCTGGCTCTGCAGTCTGTACAGCTCTGATTAATCTGATAATGGTGATAGAGATGATACAGAGTGGAAGAGAGTAGTAGAAGGAGTAGAGATGATGATGGTGATAGAGAGAATAGAGAGTGAAAGGAGTGGAAGAAGTGGTAAGAGTGAGTAGAGGTAGAGAGTGGAAGTGATAGGGGGGGTTGCCGGGTGGTAGGGGTGGTAGGGGTGGTAGGGGTGGTAGAGGTGGTAGAGGTGGTAAGGGGGGGTAAGGGGGTAGAGGTAGGGGGTGGAAGTAGTGGAAGTGGTAGAGGGGGCTGCGCCAAGCAGCAAAGCGAGCGTAAGCGAGCATTTGATGCTTGTTTCAATTATAAATAAAAGTAGCATTCATCTATTTATTATATCTATACTATTTTAAGATCTAGAGAAATCAATATCTATAGCTATAATCTAAGATGATTTATAAATCTTAAAAATGTATAATGAATAAGAAATTGAAATTCAAAGTTATATAATATTAATATTCTCTGAAAATATGTAATTTTTAGGCAATATGCTGGAACTGAGCAGAACAGAGAGTCTGCTGAGATAAAAGCATCCCAAACTCTCTGGAGAAATGTCACCATCCACAGATCCATTGCGTATTTTTAAGTAAACAAGACCATTCATAGCAATAATAGTAATACGTATATGAATAGCAACGAGGGGTATAATTCAAACGACTACATAACAAGGGCAACTTAAAGAGAGAGAAGCAAAATAGGGCTAGTAACTACTTCGTTTTGTCCTCCCTTCCCTTCCCTACCCGTATCCTTGGATGCAATCACTTCGCAGCAGGTCGCGACCAAGGAATAGATATCCATTGTCTAGATACTACAGCTGAACAATGAAAATCCAAGCCCTTGTCTGGCCATCCTACACCACCCACACCCCCATCCCATTTGGAAGTAGGGAAACCAAAGACGAACAAAAGGAGGAAAGCGAAAGGAGGAAAACAGTTATATGAACTAATAATAATAAAGGTATAGGTGTAGAACAAAACAGAATAAATAATGATTAAGTGAGAGGGTGATTTTGAGAAGATGGAGAGATAAAAAGAAGACTAGAAGCACAAAAAGGAAGGCAAAAAGCGGGGAAAAAAAATAGGCCTAAGAAAAGTCCTCCACCACCACATTATCTCGCTACCATAAATCTGTTTTATTCGTTCTTTTTCTTAAAAAGGCAATCTTGTTATTAAAAAGAAGCTTGTATATCGCCACCTACCCCAGAAATATGACATTTTGGTTAACTCGAACAAGTCCGGCAGTGTTCTTGGTCTGGAGTCCAGCTCTTCTCTCCACCGGCGGGATGTATATATGCAGGTACATACTTTCTTGTTTCGAACCAGGAGAAGTGGTTTTCGTTTAAATGGAGCGTCTATCATTGGTTGGAGAGACGAAAGTTAAGTTTTGATCAGAGATGTGGTGGTAAAAGGATCAGTCATCCTCATTTCAAAAAAGACCTTGAAGAAAAAGAAGAAAGGGGAAGCAAGAGAAGAAGCATGAGACCAAAATATAGGAGATGATTGAGAGCGTCTAGAAGCCCCGATAAAGAGGATCGTGATCAATTTATTTTAGGCTCTGGAGCTAATCAATCAAACAAAATCGGCAAAATATGAGAAACCGCGGAATTCCTCCTGCATCGCTTGGGAGAGGACTATTAAAATCGTCAGCATATATAATCTTAAGGGAGTTTGTTATCGAATGGAATATCCTAGACCTACCTGATTGCACAGGAGTCAACACGGGAGTGACGCTTGTAAATTCTTGGTCGAAGTTACTTGTATCCGTCGGGTTAGAGATAGTCGGGCAGAATGGCGGAGGTACGCGCTTATGGTATACATCATCCCAGTTAATGTTCCGGAAGAATGCATGCGACATAATCTCTTGTGCATCCGTTGGGCCAGATCCAAGTCGCATTTCCGGTTCTCGAGTCAAGAGCTTTTGTAAAATCGATACAGAATCGCGGGGCATATGGATTGGATACAGAGGTTCATCCGCTAAAATTGCATCGTATATTTCGTCCTCGTCTTCGCCGCGGAAAGGGGATTGTTGAAGAAGCATCTGGTAAATCAGGACGCCAAATGCCCACCAATCAACTGCGCGGCCGTACTTTTTGTCCAAGAGAATCTACACATCATGTTAGTATAAACTCATTACATGCAAGCTGCCAACGGGGAGTCGTACTTCTGGTGCCATGAATTCTGGGGTACCACAGAACGTACTGGTAGTACATCCATACCACATTTCCTCCTTACATAAGCCATAATCAGCAATTTTGATGTGGCCATCTAGCGTTAGCAGAATATTATCGAGTTTCAAATCACGATAGATCACGCCATTCTCGTGGAAATATTTTAGCGCCAAACAGACCTCCGCAGCATAGAACCTAGGATAATAATATCAGCACCGTCTAGGTTTATTTTGACTACATGGAAATATCAGAGAGACTTACTGTGCGCGCTTCAAGCCGAACTGGCCACGTTGAATGTGGAGCATGAGATCACCACCAGAAATATATTCCATGACGAAATAGACACGAGTTTCTGTCTGGAAGCATGCGTGAAGATTGAGCAAGAACGGATGCCGTTCCTTATTAGCAATCAGGAACACCCGTTTTTCAGACTTCGTACTCTCCACTTCATCATTCTCAATAATGAATTCCTTCTTCAGGACTTTAATAGCGTATAGTTTCTTGGAAGCCTTCGTCTCGGCAAGCATAACTTTGCCGAAGTTTCCCTTTCCAAGAACTGCGAGGAAGTTGAAATGATCCAGACCAACTTTGGGCTTCGGTTGTTGTGGCGGTTGCTGGGTGGCGACTGGCCCTGACTGGGGTTCCTTCATAGGGAGTGTCGACATGGGGGGCTGCGACGTAAGTGGTGTGTGCTGGGCGTGGCCATAGGGACCGGGAGGTTGGGCGGCCTGTAGAGTGGGGAGTTGTGGTGCCTGGCCGTATGTGTTTATGCTCGCATAGGCACTAGGATCATAGGGAGTATGTGACGGCGGCTGCTGCTGCTGTTGAGGCTGACGGGCTGCATCTGCGTCGCTGCGAGAATCAATTGGATACCTGTCGGCTGGTCTATTACCAGAGTAATCCGGGATCCTGTCGTAGGGGGCGGGAGGTCCCAGTTGCGAAGATGGACGCATGCCCGTTGCAGCTGCAGCAGCAGCGGCTGCGGCCGCGTTCGAGGAGCCACGGGGAGGATGACTCTGTCTGGGTGACGCGACTGGTGACTGAGGAGTGTAGGAACCATGAGCCGCACTAACTGCCTCCGCGGAAGCGGGTTTCGGGGGCTGCCCATATGCCACATCTTGCGGTTGCTGTCCGCTCTCGGCCGCTGGTTGTGGCCGGCCAGGAGGACGTAAAGTACGGCTACTTATTCCTGTACCTCCCACTGACGCAGATTTATTATGATTTTTGGTTTTGATGAGAGTCTCCAAAATTTGGTTGGCAACTTCCATAGACATCCCACAAAAGTCCGGGACGAGATGTGCGCACTGCGCATGGCACGTAAGACTGCATTCTAGTGAAGATGTTAGCAATTATAGAATAGGCAAAACAGCACAAATTATTGCGAAAGCTTCGTAATACCTGAGCATTTTTTGGCATTCTTCCGCCCGAATGGTAACAGGTAGCCACAATGGCAACACCAACTGGCAGAAATGTTCGAATATCCCTCGAACCGATGTGGAATACGATGATTGATTTTCTCATCGTCTGGATCGGTCTCGTAATTCGCTTTGCTGATACACTTGGTGACGACTTTTGGGTAACATTTTTTGTGACAGGTGTACTTGCAATCTGAGCACTGCATGCCTGCAGCATACTTCAAGAAATCTCCACAGAGAGCGCAGCGCATAATGTTATAGAACTGCTGTGTAACGAATTTATGTCCCTGCTTCTCGTGAACCTCTTCCTTCTTCTGACGAACGGCACCCTGCCGATTGAGACCGATATCAAACGGCCGTCGATCTTTCAATTGTTTTGCTATACACTGGTTAGCAATATGTGGTCAAAAGTGCCTCTCGGAAACTTACCAAAGCTCATCGTGAGATGTATTCTCCCGACAGGCTCTAGAGCGAACCATGAATCAATCATAACGGTTGCATTCTGATTT